GGCCACAGGGACCAAGCTTTGCCGGTAGCATCCGCACTCCACCTCATGTATGCCGCTTCCTACACCCACGAAAACCTCCCACTGAAAGAAAGCTGCAGACCAAAGTCCATGATCCATCACAAATACAGTCCAAACATAGAGCTCCTCACTGGAGATGGTTTGCTACCTTTTGGGCTAGAGTTGTTGGCAAGATCGGATCATCCGACCCAAAACATATCGGACCGGATCTTACGTGTGATTATTGAGATCACACGTGCAACTGGTTCTCAAGGAATGATACATGGCCAATACCATGAGATAGAATCCATTCAATCAAACGGCAACAGTTCATGCCACGTGGAAGAGATCGGACGCGTGTGTGAGAAATACGATGGTTCTCTGCACGCGTGTGCAGCCACGTGCGGAGCAATCATAGGAGGAGGAAGTGAAGAGGAGATAGAAAATATGAGAAGGTATGGGTTATGTGTAGGGAAAATACTAGGAATGTCAAATAGACTGAAGGGAAACGATAAAGAGTTGGTGAAATTAGTGGGGGAGCTTAGCAGTTTGGCAATGGAAGAATTGAAAGGATTCAATGGGTCAAAGGTAGAGGCAATTTCTGGTTTTATTGAGGGTAATATTATGTAGGACTAGAAAAATAACTTAGTACAGTTATTTTAAAGATATGGTTGTTAGTATGTTATGTCCTCCAGAAATGGAACATGAGTTGTAATAATAGCATGATATTTTATGAATTGTTTAGCATTAAAAAAAAAACAATAAATTTCAATGGTTTATATACAAGGGATATAAAAGAGATTTTACCTAGAGTGGAATAATGAGGTATGAATTAACTTGGAAATAGTATGGAAAAAGGTCTTAAACTTGCACAAAATTCTTAATTTCAGACCCAAACTTCAATTGCATTTAATTAAGATCCTAAATTATATGAAATTCTCAAATAAAGTACCAATTGGATAAAATATTCTTTTATTATCAAATGTCTTGGATGCCCATTAATTAACTGTCTATAACTCTTTCAACCAATTGGATTGCCACATGGAAAACATGCTAACTTGTGATTACCATGTGGATGCCACATGGATTCTCTTTCACAAGATATTCTTCAAAAGCAATTAAGACCCATCAGTGACATTCATGTGTAATGACAAGTCAGCATGTTCTCCTATGTGGTAATCCAGTTAGTTGAGAGAGTTATGGACTGTTAGTCGGCATTTAAGACATTTGGCTGCAAGATAATATTTCATTCAACAGGAGAATATTCCATTCAATTGGGACTTTATTTGAGAATTTCATGTAATTTGAGACCTTAATTGAGTATAATTGAAGTTTGGGTCTGAAATTGTACTTTTGCACAAGTTTGAGTCCTTATATCATATTTTTGCCAATTAACTTTATATCAAATATGAAATGGTTTACAAAAGTTTGGTTGAAATATATGAGGTGGGACCGCCTTAATAACGAATCCATTTGGTTAAAATTTTAGGTATAGTATCTTAAATAAATTTTCATCTACCATATTAACTTTATATTTTTTTTGTCTAATGAAATACTAATAATTTATGTTGAATTTAACTAACTCAATGTTTGTTTGAGAATTTGGAGAATAATTATCAATTATTATTTTTAATTAAATGAATTACATATTTTAAATTATAAATAATTATTATTATCAATTATTCAATATTAATTATCAACTATCAACTGTATCAAAATAGTTAATCTGAACAATCTTTTAAACTTAATTAATATAGCCTTGACCCTAGAGAAATCATGTTTTTTTTTTTTTTTTTTTTTAAAATAGGTAATGGAGAAATCATGTTTGCTTGATCACCTAACGAAAGGTCAACCATTTCATGCTCATCACATGTTTCACTTTTGTTTGTCGAAGTGTTTTCCATTTTGTGTGTGTGTGTGTAATGAATGGCGCCGTTTTGTGTGTGTGTGTGTGGAATGAATGGCGCCGAATCCCATAATACTCATATCATCCAACCCCGGGAAAAGTCAAAACCCATCAGCCTCCAAAAGGATCTCAGCCCAATATTATGGGACAACGACAATCAATCTATTTGGTGACAAAATTAGACAAAATTAGGTGAGATAGATAAAATTAGGAGACGATTTTTATGGGGGGAGTCGGGGAGAGGAAAAAAGTCTCATGGGTAGCATAGGAGAAAATATGTTTTAATAAGCTTGAAGGGGGATTGGGTATTAAAAATCTGTCATGTTTCAATATGTCATTACTAGGAAAATGGTGGGGAAGGTTGCTTATGGAGAAGGGGGGTTTCTAGAAAAGAGTCTTATTTGAAAAATATGGGAATAAGGAAGAGAATTGGCTTTCCTACTTACGGGAGGGTAGATCCTGAGGCTTCAAATGGTGAAGGGATGTTTGCAAAATAAATGAAGGGGTGGGCATAAAGAATAATTGGGTGAGCTCAGGTTTTGAAGTAAAATTGGGGGACGGTGGAAACATGAAATTCTGGTTGGATGTATGGGTAAAAGGGAGTGCACTTTCTAACAAATTCTCATGTTTGTTTCTATTAACCACAGGTCAAAATTCAAATGTTAAAGATATGGGAACTTGGATGAATGGCTATTGGCACTAGAAATTATCATGAAGCGTCAACTCCGCTCGTGGGAGGAGGACTTAGTAAGAGAACTTTTAGAGACGTTCAAAATAGCTCACCTAACACAGAACAAAGAAGATCAATGGCGATGGCACCTAGAACCCTCAAGAAACTACACAACCAAGTCTGCATATTCTCAACTCCTAAAGGGCGATACAAGGCCTGCAGGTGACTTCAAGAGGGTGTGGAAAGCCCCCATTCCACCTAAAGTAAGTGCATTTTGTTGGCAATTGCTTCATAGGAAACTTCCTACAAAAGATAATTTAGCAACTCGTGGAATCTTAACTGATACTTCAAGTTTAAGTTGTTGCTGGTGTGATACATCACTTGAGTCACTTGAGTCACCTGACCACATGTTTGTTAATTGCAACTTGGCTTTTACTTTGTGGATGAAATGCTACAAGTGGTGGGATAAGCAATACGTTATGGGTAATTCTCGTAGGATGGTTTTAGACCAACACAAATGGATAGGGGGCCAAAAATTAATAGATAAAGGGTGGAATATCATTTGGTTTGCAATGGTATGGACACTTTGGCTGGGAAAGAATGACATGATTTTAAAAAAGAAGGAAGCAAAGGTCGACTGTTTCTTTGAGCTAGTTCAAACTCGATCATTTTACTGGGCTAAGAATACTGCAGGAATGGATGGGTTTTCTATATCAACTTGGTGCCAGAACCCAGTCAATTGTTTAAAGATCAAACCTAACTAGAAAGACAGAGTTTGAACTAGACGTCTTTGGGATTATATGATGTTTTGTTCTTTTTCAGCAGTCGGTAGGAAAATTTTTTTTGTAACCTGCTGTTTTGCTGATATATGTAAGTAATGGGTTGGAATACCCCTAGTATTCCAAAATTAATAAATCATTTGCCTTTCAAAAAAAAAAAAATCTATTGGGTGATAGATCTGGTCAAGTAGAAAAAATAGTCCGAAATTAATAGGTTGGCCCAATTCATTTGTCTTGATTATAGACTTTGGAACAAAGTGCCCCCTCTCCCACGATCACATATGGTCACCATTTGCCACAGCTTCACCTCATTCTAAACGTTGGATCATCATTACATGCTCTCTCCCCCGGCACATCTCATGCTTTGCTATAGCAGGTTTAAACTTTATAGGACGTTATACATGGAGAATCTGTAATTGCACCAAACCAGAAGTCCCTCTTCAGTCTACGTCTGCACTCCGGATTAACCTGTAAAGCCCCGAGGTGGAACTCGGGGTAGACACTTTGATGCTTAAGTCAACAATAATCGGGGCTATCTTTAGAATGAAGGTAAAAGGAGTTTAGGGTTGGTTTCAATCACCTTTTTGACGTGGCCCCTGGGGGGTATTTATAGGCTTCAGTGAGGAACCCACGTGGCATGCTAAGCAAGATAATCAGAGTCTGACATGTCTCTTCAGACGATTATTTCGGGACTGAGAAATTAAGAGATGTTCAGATGTAAGCATGTTCATCGTAACTGCTGTGCAGCTTGTCATAATGAATCAAGTGCGGGCATGCTTATTGTCGCTGTCATGCAGCTGTTTAAGCGGGAAGTGTTGGATTTATCCTTCACTTTAGTTATAAAGGAATTACTGTCGTACATTCGAGGTTGGGCACTTCAGACTTATCCTTACAGAATCAAAACGCAAACGCACACATGAAGCCCTTCTCTCCCACCTCCTTACTCTTTATTTCTCCCTGAAACACCGTTCGCCAACACTGACTGTCTGTTCTCCATCCTTCATTTTCTCGACTTTGAAATTAGAAAATTAAAGCATGAGCTAAGATGTTTTCCCAGCTTCGAGCGCGAAAAGCTCCTCGAAAAGAAAAGGATGGGTTTCGGTTGTTTGGAATCGGCATGGAAAAGGGAGAAGAAAAAGGGTGAGATGACTTATGATTTGTGACAGCTAATGAAAGTAAAACGACAATGAAAGGGAAAAGATAAAATTAGGGTTTGAAGATTAGATTTAAGGGGTTTCATTTGATTAAATTCAATAGTTAATATTAAATTTAATTAAAAAATATATAAAAATGCTATTAAAAAATAAAAAAGTGTGTATTTGCTTTATCTTATAAAAATTAAAAAGAAAATTATCTCAATATTACATTATTTCAATATACTTTTACTAACAAAACTAAATTACCTTATTAAAATATATAGTTTCAACCTATTCATTTTTAGTAGATTTATTTTAAATTTGGCTTTTCAAGTTTGAATCTTTGATAAAAATTCAAATTTGAAATAAATGATAATCAAAAAAATTTTTTGAATCTATAAAAATACTTGACAAAAACTTCATATAGAAAAAAAACTTTCTAGTTATCATTTATATAAATTGTTAAATTTTATTTAAAATTTAGGCTTAAAGAATTAAAAAAATAAACTAAATATATTAAAAATAAAAATTATATTACTTTTAATTTTAATATTGTATTAAAATAATATAATTTAAAAATATTTTTTTTAAATTTTAAAAAATAAATCAGGTAATCACTAATCCATTCATATGTTGCTCATATGTTACCATATGAAAGTGGTGGATCGCATGAAATTTTAAATTTTAAACAAAAGTCAAACTTCAGAAATTAGAATTGCTTCAATGCGTAATTCTAGGCGGAGAAATCCCAGCCTTCCTTAAAATGACAGCTTTCCCAGACATTGAAATGTAAATGGTGCCGACATAAGGACAGAACCTGAAAATGTTGGAAAAATTACGGATTATCATAAAAAAAATTTAAATTTTTAAAATTTAAATTTTTTATTAAATAATATTAAAAATATTAATTTATTAATTAGTTTTAATTTATTTATTAATAAATATTAATTATTTTATTAATTATTAGTTAATAATTATAATTATTAATTATTTTTATTAATTAAATTTAATAAAAATAATATTTTATAATTTTAATAACATTAATATTTTTATTGATGAGCATGATTTCATCCACTTCCCAACCGTGAGGAACTGAAGCACTGGAACAAAAAAAAATGGGAGCCTTACCCTTCATTTATTTACTGAAAATGTTCATCATGTTTGGTCTGCATATTAATTATAATTATTAAAAAGAGTTAAATTCTTTAATATTAAGATAATTTTGATTATTAATAACTATAAAATATACAACTCATACAAAAACAAATAAGGGAAATATCTATCTCATTTATTTACCATTTCACAATCCATTATGAACTAAAAAAATAATTTTATTACCAACAACCTAAATAATTCAATAATAATCTTTTTTTATAAAAAATAAGAGATCTTAATTTCAAATCTCATAACATGTAGGTAGGGAAGGACAAAGAATGAGAGAGAGTTACCTTCTATTATGCAACCAATATAAAAAAAAAAACCCTTATTCACATCACCTTGTAGGACTAAGAGAATAATTACCATATAAAGTAAAGGGAATAGCTACTAGCTCATTTAGCCTAAGATAAGAAATTGTATAAATAATCAAATTTGGTATGATTTCTTCTAATTATCTTGACGAACCTAGCTTTGCTTAGCATTAATTGGTGGATTAGAATAGCTTCAAATCTTTTGTACGGTACCTAATAAGATTTTGAAAAAAAGGAATGGGTTCCTATCATAGCCCAAATCAATTAAAATTAATTAGAAACACTATTGTACCTAATAAATTTGGCTTACTTAACATCAATTGGTGGATGAAGATAACCTCAAACATTATGAAATGTCATAATTAATCTCGAAGCCTAATTTTAAATCGTAGCAATCTCGAATTAATTACTGGCATAAAAAATTGATAAAATGTGCTCTTTTAGTCATTTTTAATTTTTCAGTTGTTTTAATCCCTAAATTTATGTGAATTAACTTAATAATTTTATATTAAAAAATAAAAATTCAATTTTTTTAAAGTAAAATACTTAGTAAAAATTACATGTATAAATAATCTTTTAATTAGCATTTATTTATTATTATACAAAATCATATTGTCAAATTTTATACAAAAATCAAATTAGAACAACTAAATTAAACAAAGAAAGTACGTAATTTGCCTTTGTAAGTGTTTGGTATAAATGTTTAAAACTAATAGTTTTTTTTTTTTTTTGAATAGTTTACAATTTGAGAGTGAAAGGATTCAAATCCTAATCTTCAAGTTAAACGGATACACCTTACAATTAGATATAGAGTTGTTAGATCACGAGATCCAGATACAAAAATAATAGCTTGTTTAATTTGTGGAGAGGAAATGGAAAAAGGAGAAATTTCCCTCTTTAGTTAAAAAAAAAAATTAAAAAAAAGAGGGAGGAGAGGTTTTCCTTATTTTACTTTAATTTTTTTTATTTTAACATAACCAAACAGAAGAAGAAGATATTTTTCCATTCCTTCCCTTTCCCTCTAATTTTCCTTTCATTTCGCTTCCAAGCCTTTCCTCGCTTTGCTTTTATTTCCCTCACACTAGACAGAAGGTAATAGTTAATGATTTTATTTAATTTAATTGAAGTTTTTTCTTTCGTTCCTATCTGGTATCTAAGGTTTTACCCCGATTAATTTAGATCAACCCGGGTCACACACTTAAAAATAATGGGTGAGTCTCCCAACAAAGGCTGCTACGTATACAAAGCCTCAAACTCAAGATTTTACTTAAATTAAAACAAATTACTTACCACTTGATCTAACTTCTCGTTAGTTTAATTTAATTAAAGTTGATGATTAATAATGCAGCCTAGGCCCAAGAGAAGACATGTTTGGTGCTGTAGTCTAACGAGTTCACATGTTGCACATGTAATCACCTGACGAAAGGTCATCATTTCAGGCTGGCCACATATGTTCCCTTTTAGCCTAGTCATTGGCCAGTTGGCTACTCTGCCTGGACTTAGTTTGTCGAAGAATTTATTATTATTATTATTATTATTTTCTTTTTACGAGGAATGAAGCCAAAGCCCATGGTACTCACAGCATCCGCGATCCAACCCCGGGAAACGTAAAAAACCCATCAGATCAGCCTCCAAAATGAGTCTCTGCCCAACGTTCTATGACAATCAACATATTGGGTGAGACCCGGTGAAGCAGTAAAAAGTCCAGAACTAGTAAGTTGGCCTATTCATTTGGAGTGATTCTAGACTTTGGACCAATGCCCATATCCTTATCATGACTTGTGTTAGACTTCACCCGTGAAGGAGGAAATCAGACGCTTTTGGACCACTTAAAAAGGGAGCTTCCCAAACATTAAAATGGTGCTGACAAAGGACAGAACCCTGAAAATGTCGGTATATGGAAGGGAAAAATATCTATAGTGGATAGGACGAATCAAAGAAACGAACAACTAACCTTAGTATATGTCATGCTACGTTGAATGCTACCAATTCTCAGCCATTAGGAATTGAAAATACTGTACTTGAACCAAAAAAAATGAAAGTCTTAACGTTAATTTATTTATAAAAAAGTGAAATATAATTTATTATTGTAAATTATATATTTTATAATTATTTATAAAAAATAAATTTTTTACTATTAAAGTAATCTCTTTTTATTAATGATTATCAAATATATAATTTAAATGTCTAGAGTAAACTGTGAAACATCTATCTCATTTATTTAT